CCTCCAGGCCGCCTATATGGGTTTTTCCTTTGCCCCCCCCCCCCCAGCCAATGGGGCCTTGCAGTGAGGATACAGTAACTCAGAGCTTACCAGCTTCTGCCCTGTATACAGTTTATATCTCTGGTACCTGGCATTATGTTTTATGGCACACGTGACCTGGCCCGATAAAGTGACATTTATGTCAGATCCGGTCCTCATAACAAATGAGTTTGACACCTCTGCTCTATGGTAACCATAGAGTTTTTCTCAAATGATAGAGCATCCCCCACAACATGCCCCGTGCGATGACGTCTCTGCTCCAGGCATGTTGCTGTGGACGGGGCTCTATGGGTGCGGGATTCCCCCTGCCAGCTGGCTCAGGGGCAGCAGATCAGGGCTCCAGAAAGCGGGTAAACCCCCGCCCCCATCAGGGGAATTGCAACCCTAATTATGTGTAGTAATGTTCTTTTTAAACGGAGCCACTAGTAGAAGAAGAGGCTTTCTATACCCTGCGTTCCGTGCGCCTTGGTGTTTAGTCATGCCGGCCACATTGACCACGGAAACATCTTTGGACAGCGCTGGCTCTTCGGCTTTGAAACGGAGATGAGCACCGCAACCCTAGAGTCGGACTCGACTGGCTTTTGAGCAAGGGATTTTGGCCCAAAAATGATGGTCACAGTCACAGAACAGACCGCAAAAAGAAGAAACTGTGAGGTAACTACGCTAGAAAATATTTCAATAAACAATCACAAAATATATACAAAAATGTGTACAAAAATCATATAAATGCACAAGGCAGTTGAAAATGGTGTTACGATGGTCTCTAGAATGTTCTATCGTTTCGATACTATTCTTCTTCTGAAAGTGGATGAAAGCAGTGACTCTTGGTCTGTCATTTCAACAAGTAGGTATCAAAAATTTCATTATTATTCACTGATGTCTCAGAACTTAGTTGCAAGAAATTCTCTGAAAGAATGTCCCTAGGGCAAAGTGCTTGTATAATGCCTTTCAAGCAAGGGAACCTTTACCTTTACCTTTCTCTACCTTAAGAAGTCTCAAAGTGGCTTACAATGTCTTTCCCTTCCTCTCCCTTCAACAGGCACCTTGTGAGGTAGGTGGGGCTGAGAGAGTTCTGAGAGAACAGTGACTGACCCAAGGTCACCCAGCAGGCTTCATGTGGAGGAGGAGTGGGGAATCAAACCTGGTTCTCCAGATAAGAGTCCGCCGCTCTTAACCACTACACCAAACTGGCTCTCAATAATGGCTTCATGTGGTTGTTTGAGGAAGCAAAAGGTGGGGGCTAAAGATCCTTGTGTGCTGTGGTCACAAACAG